TTATCTCGCAAATGAAATTTCAGCGAAGGCAATAAATCTGAGGCGGTCTTTATTTTCGTATCGATTCGCGTCTATTGTCGACGCCTATTGCGCTCGCCTGTCAACGGGACGGCATTTCGACGTTCGAAACTTCGATAGAGAATTCCTCATTTTGACAGATTCTATCTGACGCGCGCATCGACAAGCCGGCTTAATCTCACCGTCGGGAGAGAATCGCGTGCGCGGGATATCATTTTTATAAACCACCACCTGGCGACGCCGCGACGTCGCTCGTCTGTTTCATAAAGAAACCCGAAAGCCAACGCAGCGTTTTCTGCAGAGAACGACGATTTGGCCCCCGGCATTTTGTTACTTTGCTCAATTTCTATTTTCCTACATCGAGCTGGCATCGAGTCTCTCTCCACCGCATTCACCTCCGCAGCTACGGCTGGCGCGAATAAACAGGATCGTTGCCGCGAACTCGAGACAACCTATCCGTTTTATCGAAGCAAATATGCTCGAGATCCCCGTACGCACGGATGCCATTTCCCGTGTCTTCCCCTCGTCCTCCTTCTTGCAGATTACCCGCTCTCGCCGTCGCGACAGGGGAAAAACATAAATCCCGGGGATGCTCCGCGAAAACACCATGAACGTTACACTCTTACATTATGCAGCTCTTATTACATTCTACCCTCCGTTTCCATCGAGAGCGAAAATGGCGAGATGCCTACTTGAAGAAGCGGATTGACTATTTCGATATTTAATTAAAAATTGTTTGCCGGCTCTAATCGGACGGAGAATAATAAAAGTTAATTTTTTTCTCCAGTAAAATGCTATTTGTAATTCACAAAAGCTTAACTCAATAAAAAGAAATTAGTTCTGCGCAATCAAAGAAGTTAGAACACAGCATTTATACATTAGCAATTAGGAATTAGTAAAAATTTTCTCTTTTATCGACCACGTTGTTGAATTTATAACTAATAGCTATGACAACGCGAATAGTTTCATTAGAAACTTCTTGTCACTTGAAAAAAAAAAATTGTATCCGAGCTATAGACCTCCCGCTGCGAGACAGCTTGCATAACGGCGCAGTGTTTTCCAGTGCACTTTAATAAAATATGTTGTATTATGCCCGCGCGGACGATATTAAAGTTTGCCAATGTTTGCACGTTGCCGGCGCGTCATAGTATTTACTAGAAAATCCCTTCTCCGGAAGAGAGACAGCGGCAAGTTTATTTAATAACAGAACGTAGAGTAGCGCCCCTGAGGAAAAAAGATCGCGGGAGAAAGGGACGCTTCAAAATAACGCTTTTGGTAAGCGCCGGGTAGGGCGGAGTCAAAAGGAAACCACCGAAGAGCTGCCGCTTGAAGACACCCGAGATACTCGAGAAGTTCGTGAAAGGTATACCCCGTTGACTTTTGTAACTCGAGAAGACGAAAGATACACGCGTCTACGAGCCCGATTATTCGCTGCTTTCGTCACGTTCCCGCTTTGCGCACTAATCCCTTTCGCTCCTAGCGTCCCTCGTCAAAAGCGTACGACTGACAAAGTGCCGCAGACGTCACACAACTTCTGATATTTCGTTTAAATAAGGAATAGGTGTGTAGATTTTTGTCAAATATAGCTTCTGGACTGCTAACACACAAATATTGGCTTCTGTATGGCTCAAATATTGCATCTGGATGTAATATTAAATTAAAAATCGTTGTAGTACTCTCATATGTTTTTTTTTTTTTTTAAATTTTTGTTGAAAAGTAAAATAGAAATTTCGATGAATTTAATTTTCTGTGCATACCATTTTTCATTGCCAGAAAAATGCATTTTCTGACAATTATATATAATTATATATGTATAATATGTATAACAAAAAAAAAAATTCAGAATTAATTCTTTCAAAAATTTTTAAACGTTCTATAACGAGATAGAAAATATGAAAATAATCAGATATTTGGTTTAGTAAATAAAAAGCAAATATCGGAAGAATTAACGGGTTGACATTTTGAAACGAATGTTGGAGAGCGAATTTCAGCGACAGCATGGAAAAAGGCACGAAACTCGGTGGCTTCCCTATTGTGGTGAGCACATTGTCCGGAAGCAAGTGAGAGGAAAGTGATACTTCGGTATTATACGAAGCAGGGTGAAACTCCATTCAAGGAAAGAGACACTTTCAATAGGATAAAGTGCACGCTACGAAGCGGCTTCAGGCAGGAAGCGTTTATATCTCCGCGTTCATTACAATGTACTTTCATTATATTATGGTGTTGTAGGATATTGTCCTGATTTTCACTTGATCGTTCGTTTTATCAAGGCTTTTCAGCAACGCGTTTCGAAAACATAAAAAACAGCTCTTATTCATAAAGTCATACTTTACTTTATTTTTCGGTATAGAATTCTTCCCGTAAAGAAAGATAACGGTACGATTTAATACAATATTAAATTCGATAAAAGGCGTCTCGATAAAGTTTATCCATTTGTTTTCCGCTACCGCACACGCGACTTTGCCATAAACCGACGTCATTCTTTATACATTAACAGCTTTGGATATTGACGGTAATCGAGAGAGAAATTGCCTCGAGGAATCAGGATTTGCGGATCGTTTCGTTAAATTTAATGAAGTGTATCTTGTCTTCTATCGGCTTTGGTTAAAACTAATCCACGTGTGATCGCATCGACAAATTTCCCCGCGTCGTATAACGCGCGATTACTCTTTGTTGTTCCCTTTCGCAATTGCCCCACGAAAACTCCTCATGAAAACTTGCTGAAAACAACCGCCCGACGGCAACCACGACGACTACGCAGTAATAAGGAAGTTTTTATCACTCGTCTTTGCGAAGGGCCGCTCGGCAAATTAAATTGCCCATGGCTCTCAACTACGCGAAATAATATAATTGTTCTCTCGCCTTCGAAATAATATCAGCCGTCGCGACGTGCAGCGGTGAGCGACAATTTGTGAATGCAGATAATTATTAAACGGAAGATTTGAAAAAATCAGCGCAACTGTAAAGTTTATCAATCAACTTTTTTACAAAGTTGAGAAAATTAATTTAGAAATAAAAAAGGTAAAAAAAGAGAACGTAAAAAAATTTAAATTAAACTCTTCTCGAGTTTAAAAAAAACTGGGTTAAAGACCCTCGAAAACCCTTCAATTCTGGAGACCCTCAAAATCTCACGAATCTAATAAAAATAAAGCGAACCCTCTTTTGATTGTCGATAGTGGTGTTGTGCGTTTATTTCGAAATTTAGATAACGATCGATGCAGCTACCGGTATATAATTTCAACGGGAAGTAGTGGCTTGCTCGAAAGTGACGCAAGTGAAATACGAAGCCGGCCGGTAGTGGCGCAATGCGAACTCCAAGTAAAAAACGGAAAACGACCTTGCCACTTCAATTTCACGGTACACACGCAAAAGTGTAATTTTTTAACGCGCCTTCCCGCGTCGGAAATTCCCTGTGAAAAGTTCCGCCGCAAATGTTCCGCGATATACGCGAGGTCTCCCTTTTATTATGGCTATTCGGCGCGTGTCGTTAAAGTTGGTCCTCTTTTCGCGCCGTTTGTTATGCGCCGCGCGAAAAAGGATTAACTATTAGTTGTCTAAAAAGGAAAGTTCTTATCTAGCTGTCTTTTCTTTCTTATCTCATGATAGACAGAGAGGAAGAGAGAGAGAGGAGAGAGAGAGAGAGAGAGAGGAGGAGAGAGAGAGAGAGAGAGAGAGAGAGAGAGAGAGAGAGAGAGAGAGAGAGAGAGAGAGAGAGAGAGAGAGAGAGAGAGAGAGAGAGAGAGAGAGAGAGAGAGAGAGAGAGAGAGAGAGAGAGAGAGAGAGAGAGAGAGAGGAATGGGGAAAAACGCTCTCGCCCACCAAATTAAATTAGCCTTCCCCATCCCGTGCATCTCGAGTGCCGACTGCTTGACCCCTCGTGAACCCTTTCCCCGATCTCTGCGAGATAATTCAATTCTACGCTGAGTTGCTTATGTGACTATCTCGCTGTTACATTGGCGGAAGTGGTGGTTATCCGTTTCCTTGTGCACCTAGCGGGCTCGAAGAAACGTGGTAGATGCGTAACGCCGATAAGAGATGTAATTAGTGTAGCAACACAAGTACCGCTGATATCGCGGAGAGAGCGGTGAGAAGAATTTCTGTTTAGCCGTGATATATCTAAACATATCCAAAGCCGCGGTCTAAATACTCATTCTCTGCTACGAGAAAATAAATGTATTTCTCGTATTTATTTTTGAGTTAATTTTTGATTGACAAATAATATAATTTTAATTAATTGCAATCTTTCGAAACATGTCAGAGCTTGTGCGCGATTATCGCGAGAGGTAGTGTCATTGGCAATTTTTAAACGCAATTTTTTGATAGCTTGCATAGTGTATAAAACGAATATCGGTAATGTAAATATTAAATAATTGTCAGTCAAATATAATTATGTTTTCTGGTAACTTTGTAAAATGCTTTTACTCTATATAATTGGATTTGTCCGCGACAAAGCTGAATAAAATAACGAATTATCAGCGTTTATGAAAATCAGATGAAACGATATCAATCAAGTTCGATTGATGAGAAACTCCGCAAATAGACTTAATACTCGTACTGTATTCTCTCTTTCTCTCTCTTTCTCCTTTTTTCATATCAAATGCAAAGCAAATAATACAGTGATATTATCTCATTTTGATCAAGAATTATATCAAAATTAATAGACATGACCTTCGCTTTGTTCCGCTAGATTATTCTCGCCGATCAATAGCGATGACGCGGCATATTTGTTTACGACGGAAAGTTTCGACATAGTAACACTTGTTACACACGGCGAACACATATTAATGCCGAGAGTTGAACACTGCTAAAGCCACGATATATAGTGTCAAAGGAAGAGTCGTGCGCAGTTCGCCTCGAAGGGAACGTGAGCTTGTATAATTTCCCTTTAAATCCCTTAAATACGATAGCAGATGAATACTAAACACACTCAATTAAAACCGCCCGTTCGCGAAAACTTTGGAAATTGGTTGAAAGTAACTCACCCTCGACGGCGACGCTGCTCGGCGTGTCTCCGGAATTATAGAGGTCATCTGAAACAGAAGTTAGAAGTTTATCGAGTGCGGTGGTACTTCTCAGTAGACGGCTATTGGGCATGAATTAATTAACGAGTACTTGCAAAACACTTCATTAGATTAAACTTAGATAGTACTCTCGGGCGCGTCCATTATTTCGCGATCGGAGATGCTTGAGCAAGCCGGTTCGATCGGGAACTACTAATAAGTAAAGTAATTCAGTCTGTAATTACGTCTCCGTAATGACCAGCGCCGTAAATGCAATTTAGCCCCATTAAAATACCAAATCGCGTGTCATCCGGCAAAGTAATTGGTATTGATTAAAATATGAATTCATAAAAGATTGCATTAGTTGGAGCCATTTAATAATGGTTGCAATAGCAGTGTAAAAAGTAGCGGAATAATAGAATGATAAAAGAAGGAAAAACTGAATATGCAAGGAAGAGAAGGAGAGTGGAATAAAATGATAAACGGGATCAAATTTCTTTCTCTATTTAAAGTTTGCGATTTATTTAACTCTAGAGAATTGCAATTTTCAGAATGTGTGCACATTATTTGCCAGATGTATCGAAATGTACGTATTTACGGCGATATGTAATTTCGTAATGTTTGATATTAACTTGATAAATGATCCCGAAGGGTTTATGTGGATACTTAAGAGCCTGAACACCTGAGAATATTCCACGTAAGTGCCTCGCTCGTTTTTTTTTTCCTCGACCATATTTATGCACGATAAATGACTCGGTCGGCCCTATAAATGTCTTCGCCTTATTAAATATCGCCGCCATTACGGGCACTAACGCGTTATAGATTATGAATTTGCTTAGGGGTGAGCAATTCAACATATCGCGGTCGCAAACGTTTGTTATACAAATATTCGAATGGATTGCCGCCGGATGGTTAATATGGCGAGTAAATTTTACGCAACATCAACGCAAGTCCGGGGCAAATATCGGATTGTCCGAAAGTGCAGGCAAATCCACGGAGTAATATTCCTCGAACGTGCGCTGCGATATTTGCTGCTAATATTTACTCCGCCGAAACTGCCCTTCGCCTTAATTAATCTTCAATGTCACAACAACATAATGAACATTAAATTGACGTTGATAATTTTAGAAAAAATTGCAATTCTATATCTTTCGTTTCGCAATGATTACATTTTATGTGTAAAATTTATAATTATATATTTTATTGTTAAAATATAATTTATATTTATATTTATGTTTGTGTAGAATAAAACAAATCAGTGTAATAACAGTTTAAAAAAATTTTTTATTCTATCTTTTCTCCTGTTGCTGTCGTTTCATTTTTGCATAAACACATGACAACATTGAAATAAAAATATAAGTGAAACACGGATATCACGGATATCACGTACTTAATGAATTTTAATATAAGAGTAGCATCAGAGAAAAAAGCATAATCTCTGTGGTAACAGATCAATAGATTTATTTTATCTGATGTTATCTATCAATATCGAAATTCATTGCATAGTACTTTCTATCTTTTATTCGTTTTTTTTTTATTTTAACGTCGTTTCGTGTTTGTTTACGCAAATCTGAACAGTAGTGAACAGACAGCAGAGAGGAAAAATAAAAAAAATGGAAAACTAGAGAGAAGAGAAAATGTAGAATTGAGATTGTAATGCAAAGTGACAGATCAATTATTTAAATTATTACTAATAATTTCGTGATACTGCTTTTATCTAATTGAATTGCTAAAACGATTGAATCTTAATGCAAGCTATTTCTAATATAGGCTAGCATATTGATAGATTGCTTTAAACTGCAGAAATTGTAACATTAATTGATTAGGAAAGTTTATTCTCAGAAATAACAAGTATTTTCAGATTTTCCTCGCGTATATCATTATTTCAAATCGCTTGATTAAATTAGAGGAAACGGACAATAAGCAAGCAACACCCAATGTTATCTAATTTCCCACAAGTTGCTTATTCACACGCGCCAATGTCGCTGATTATATTTATGTAGCGCGCTAATTTTACATATTCTCGCGTGAGTCGTTAATCTATAAGCGGGAAGCTTTAACGAAATAACGGTTTCGTCCCTGTTTCCACGATAGCTTTATAATTTATCCTTCGTAGCTGCACCCGAAGGTCTCCGCCAGGGATTAAGTTGAATCTAACGATCAATAAAGCGTTCGTGTAATGACCCAATTATTAAGTTATTGGCCGCTGAAGTGTGCGAGGCCCCGCTAAGGCATTGCCCGGCTATATTGGTATCCGTAATCCTGCACACTCGTAACCAGCCCTCGCAATTAGAGATCGTCGGTCAGACACGACATCTGACATTCTTAGATTGGACTTGATCGCGTACGAAAGCGATTGGGTCGGCACGTCACTCGATCACGCCTGACCTCGTGTTTATATTAACGCGATTGCGTAGTCTAATGTTTAAACCAGACTAGATCTTCGCGCTGTAGAATCGTTTTTCTCACGATCGCGCAACGCTAGTGACCTAAAGCCAGACCGCGAATAAAGATAGGTGTCCCATTCCTAAAGGATATCCAACAATAGATATTCCAAGCAAACCGTTTTTAGTCCACTGACACATTTCGCAGATATCAGAAATATTCAAGGGTTTTATAATAAGCGGAGGGCATTAAAATTGAAGAGTTGTTATAATAAGAAAGTAATACCAGAGAAAGTTATCTCGATAATTAGATTTGTCTAAAAAATGCAGCAAGCATGTCTTTCAATCAAAAGCAATTTTGCGTACATTTTACGTACGTCGGTTGATATAGAAATCTCTCAAACTTCTGTTTTCTAAAATTTTGCGTCAATTTGTATCGATCGTTAAAACCTCTGTGTTGCGCTGTTTCATTGCTCAAAATATTGCAAAGATCGTTTCGCACATGCCAAGGAGAGTTTGCGCGCGAGAAATTGACCATAGCAGACTCCTTCGAAGAATGTTCGTACGCCCTTCGAAATTCTTCGTGTAGTAAAGATCCAAAGGTTTTCTTAAGACCTTGCCGAGACAGCACTTCCAACACAATATGACTTCACGTTGTTTCGCTATACTACGCTAGAGTAAAAAGCGATTGGATCCACGACGTGAGAGGCGTATCTATGAACGAAGACGGAGCTGCGAAATTGCCACGGATATAAAAGATCGAGGGATGTTTCGGATGTTTCATAAACGCTTTTGTTCAGTGTCACGTTTTTCGTCACGTGGCGAATAAACCAAAATACATCTTGAATCCGGAAATAAAGCAGCAAAGTAATAAAGTTCTCGCCGTGTGAAAAACTGATTTTCTTTAAGAAGTTCTGAATCATGTTTCTCTGAATTAGAACAAACTTTTTTTATTAAATTATTATTTATTTTTTATTAATTTATTAAATTTTTTATTAAAAATTTGTTATTGAAAATGCATTAATTCCCTCCTCGATACTATTCCTAATAACATGATCAATTTTGCACGAGTCTGTTTGTGATTTTAAAAACTATAGAGTTTAAAAATTACAAAGTTTAAAAGCTCTTTGCAGCGATTCGTCCTAATGAACCGTGAGAAAAAAAAATACTCAATCGCATCATTAATGTTTAACCTATAGAAAAGCTGATTAAAGCTTCTCCTATTTCAAAGGATGAGTTATAATTACAGCGTTTCGTCATGTTTTCGACGATACAGAATCTTTTGCCTCTGTTTTAGCAATTAGAGACTTAACTTATTAATCAGATGCTTTGAACGCTCCGACATTGCTATTCGTCAAGTGAAAATCCACTCGAACGAATTCTTGCCATGTGGCATTTAATTTACGCTCGCTAAACATCAGGAAAGTTTTATTAGTTCCCGCAATACGATTCGCAATTCCCTTCATATTCCGTAAATTAGCGTGTCGAATAAGTTCACCATAGGAACGCGACGACTAGTTGTTAGGTTACAACATAAAATGAATCGAGCATAATGGCTTAACATAAACTGAAATTGAAGGTGCTGCAAAGTCGATCTCGGCGCCAAACTTCTAACCGAGTATAAATTCGCGTCGCACGTTATTAAACGAATTAATTTCTGCTAACGACAGGCTGGCAGCGGCAATGAGCAATTTAAGCAATGTATATATCGAAGGCAACTTTGTTATTAACTCATTACTATCCGCAGATTCTAATGAGCAACTAAGAGTTGTTTGTAGAACAATCACTGCGTACACATAAATTGATTCACGAATCATTTTCGAAGATATTATGACATTTGCAAACAGATATAACATTTCACAAATTTTAGTTTAAATTTCTTAGTTTTATAAAAGTATAAATAAAAATATAGATTGTTAAGATAATAAAATGTGTTTTCTTTCACTAGTATTTTTTTCAGAAAAAAGGCTTGAAGGCTCTTCAATTTTCAAAATTCTTTTTATTTTTGAAAGCAAATGCATTTAAGAAATTTCAGATTTAATGTCTGAAAACCAATTACAACTAACTTTATAACAAAATTTGGTTATTTTTATGGAATAAATTCACACGGAAAAATCCCCGCTATAAACGCATTTCGTAAATGCCAATACAAATGTAATAAAGTCACAATGCGGCCCGATCGTACGTGAATGCGTGTGTTTGTTATCGCATCTCATATTTTGCACAATTTCCTATACATTCCATTTCGAGGTGTAATATGTCCGTGGTGGAATTAATAATTTTTTATTGTGGTTGATGAACAATATTGGGTATTGCACTCAATTAATCAAGGAACAATCGCTTTCAATGAGATTCAATAAAATTTGCGGAGTATTTCAAATATCCCTTTATTTTAATGCCGCGAGAAATGATATGTATTTAGTCCGAAATGTATCTATTTAGAAAACACGAATTTTCAGCGTCGAATGATATCTTTAATATTTGAAAAATATTTGCGGATCTGCAAAATATTCATCGTGGAAAATAATGAGGACGTTCAATGCGCGGAAAATAATAAAGCTAATTTTTGTATGAATGAACAATGTTAATGTGACAATTCTACATCGTAACTGAATACAATTTATGATATTTTTTTTGTTAAATCGCTTTCATTACTTAAATAAAATTAAAATAAATTTATTACATTAAATAAAATAACATTAAATGCATAATCAGTACGTAATAAACATAAAATAATTAGAGTAAAGAAATTAAAAATCTGTATAATATTTACGATAATTACCTGGCAATCAGTTATTTATCAGTTTTAATTTAATGCATTTAT